AACTAGGAGACACGAAAAGGTTCTTCACACCCATAACTCGGAGCTATACCTTCAATCGAACTGAAAATCAAGTACCTAATAGTTCTCCTATCTTCCAACAGACCCTTCTCGTTGTTTCCAAATCATATGAATACACCTCGCAGTCATAACATACTCATCACGTAGCTATTCAGTCATTAATTCTACCAATAGGGCACTACCGAACGTATAAGTTCAAAACACTTGCTCACGCAATCAGTACCTCGATGCGCAAGCCATAGGCAAAAATCCGGTCTCAAGTCCTCCAGACTGGCCCAACATCAAACTCACAGAGATCACATCTCGCCCCTCGATCAGGAAAATCACAAGCCATCAAGGCACATCAGATACTGAGCGCTCAAACGCGCATACAAACGCGTGGAAGGAATTTCAAGAGTTTCTTTTCAAGCTGAATCAAGGACGCACGATAAGCATTCAAGAATGTGAAGTTTTCCTAAAGGTTCTGCAGCCTCTCGAGGATAAATACAGACGTCTCCGTACCGATCCGCGAGACTCTACTAAACCTGCTCATGACTCGTGAGACCTAGTAACCTAGGCTCTGATACTAACTTGTCACGACCCAAACCCCGCACTGGTCGTGATGGCGCCTCTCGTGAAGACGAGGCCAGCCAACTAACCCAACTCGTCTTTTCAAAAGTAGTTAAACATAATTAAACAGCTTAAATATGACTTAATAGTATTAATTAGCAGAAATACAACCCAACACAGCCCTAATCAGGGTGTCACAAGTCACGAGCATCTATAAGAATGTAATTACATTTACAAGTATAGAAATACACTGAACAGGAATAATGAATAACATAGAAAGAAACGGTGCTGCGAACGCTGGCAGACACCTCGCTAGACTACTACAGCTCTGCCTCCAAACATCCAATACCCGCTACCGGGTGAATAAATACCTGCAACTGCACACGAGGTGCAGGGAGTAAAGTGAGTACTCCAACTCAGTGAGTAATAAAGGTAAATAACAACTGAGCAGTAAGAAATCACGTAAAGCAACCAACATGCTGTATAGAAGCAGGGTACAATCCTTTGAGAAAACAGTGAAGCTGTGAAATCTTTAGAAATATATTGGCTCAGTTTAAATCTCTTTTGAAAATGATCTTTTCAACAGTTACGAAACGATTTCAAAACAGTTAGTGCTGATAAGCACAGGAAAAAAAATTCGCCCTCGGGCACAAATACTGCAGTATAACAGGTAAAAAGGCAAGTAATTATGCAAGATGAGCACATAAAAGTTCGCCCCTCGGGCAATATCTCAAAACAGTACCAGCCCCTCGGGCTCACTCTCAGAAACACTCTAAGCCCCTCGGGCTCTCTCACTACTAGAAAATAATTTTATTGGAACAGTTATTGTGCAACGGTTGTGTAACTGTTACAATAGAGCATATATTGGAACGGTTGAAACCGTCTCAATAGAGTTAAAAAGTTTTTGGGACACTTCTGAAGAATAACCGTTCCAATATTAATATAACCGTTACCATAGGTAAATATATGGAGACGGGTTTTAAAAGCGATACCATAGAGTAACCTGTGGGAACGGTTTGATAAAATAAAAGTCTATTTGGAACGGTTTACTTTTACCTCCTAACTTTCCCTCCTAAATATTATTAAAAAAATAAAAAAATTGACCCCACTAATATTTTAGTAACTCTTTAATATTTTAAAATCAAAACTTTCCAGTCATTCTCTCTAAAGCCTCAAAATTAAACCTTGAACACATCGTCTCTCTCAGCCTCAACCTAGAACACATCGACCTCACCATCGGCGAACTCTGTCGGCCGGCTCCGGCGAAGGATGACTACTGCCGGTGAATGAAGACCAATTTCGGCTAACATACGAGCTATCTCCGAGGTAGGTTATCAATTATTCCCATGTTTCATGTTTGTATTACTATTCGATTTTCTTTTTCTTTTTCCCCTTATGTTTTCTTTATCTGGTAATAGTTCTTGTAAACATATTATTTTGCTTCTCCTTTATTTGTACTACATGATACATTTGTGATTTCTAGTTTGCAAAATTGGGGGATTTATTTGTTAGGTTTTGATTTTCTCGGGTAATTTTTTCTTCCGCTGCTCCTTTTTCTTTCTCCCTTTTTCTCCTTTTTTCTTTCTCTGGTAATATTCAGGAAAACCGTTTCGCTGCCCCAATTTCTCTGGTAATATTTTCTGTGTTTGATGTTTGCTATCAATGTTTGATATTCGCTGTGATTTCTAGTTTGCAAAATTGGGGTTTGTTAAGTTTTGATTTTCTGTTTGAAACCATGAGATTTTTGTTCGATGTTTGCTATCGATGTTCGATCTTCGTTGTTCGCTTTCTTGGTTATTCAGAAAAATCGTTTCGCTGCTCCTTTTTTCTTTCTCTGGTAATATTTTTGATAAACATATTCTTTTAGTTTTGTCCGATTATTCTTGTGTTGCTTTCACTTAAAATTGTGTGATATGTTCATGTTTGTGCTTTAGTCTAACGGGTAAGTGTTCGCCTTCACGTCTATTAGACATTGGGGTTATTCTTCTCAGACAAATTGCTTGCCTTTCTAAATTCTCTTTCTTGGTAAAATGATGCTATCTAATCCTTAAAATCCATCTAATAAACTTCAAAAGTAGAGCTTTTTCGACTTATAGGTAGTTCGTCAATCATACTCTCATAGTTGTAATTAATAACTTAGTGCAAAGAGCAAAAAGCTATAAGCATTTTGTGCGAGTTGTAAACTATTGAGGTCTTTTCTTTATAATTACGACATAGGAACTTAACTTACCCATTTCCAATTACATATTTTGTCCAATTTTATGATGTTATTTGGTCACATTATGTCTCAGAATAGTAGAACTTCCCTAGAAAAGTGAATATCCAAACCTCTTCCTAACCTCAAGTCCTTAAACTATTATATGTACAGTAGACTTTTAAGCAAATGAAAGGGAAGACATGGAAACACCTCAATTACAACCAAATGAGTAGACTGTTTCTAACATAATTGTTTCTTCATGTCATGTTATAGCATAATAATTGCATTATGGTGAAAGCAAGTTCATCATAGAGTGTTCCTATGAATCTTTTGGAGAATAGAGCTCCTTTGGAGCATAACAGTAATGTTATAGTTAGAGATTAAGAATTAAATTGTTTCCTGTTCTTTATCTAAATTTTAAAGAGTTGAAGTTATCATGAATAAGTGTATTAGCATCAATCAATCAACTATGCCTCAATCCCACTGTATTAATACTCTGTATAGAAGTACAACTTGTCCACCCAAAAAAAAGGAAAAAATTATATAACTAAAAACAGAAGGAATAATAAATCTAGAAGTTCAAGTGCACAACTGAAAGGATGGTTACTAGAAAGTTGATTCATTTTGCTGTTTCAGGTTCGCTAAGTAGTATCTGAGGTAGTTTTAGATGCCTCATCTTATTTATGAAGACGATAATGTGCAGTTATTATTTGAAAATCGTGACATGCATTCGGAAAATGAAGTAGTGATGTCCCTACTGGTCTTTGGTTGCCCCCTTCCTCATGTCTTTCCTCCTCTCTTGGACATCATCAAACCTTTGCCTTCTTATTTTTTTCTCAGGGTGCTGGTCGCAAATTAGCTACACAGAGAAAGAATATAGAGGTCGTTGAATCTGTTGGTCTAGCAGGGAAATCTGATCCTGATAGGAAAGTCAAGTACTTCAGACTGGAGGTAAGTGTGCTTTTTCCTTTCTCCCACAACATAGTATCTAGCTGCTTTCCTCGATGGGTGTTGAGTACAAAGGGCCAGTTAAATTTCCAAGCGAAACTGCAAACTGTGATATTGTAATATCTATCAAAAGAAAGATGGAGAGATGGGATGTATTTGAGCGTGTAATTGTTGTGTTGTCGTATGGTCGTCGACATATCGTAAAAGCAGATATGCTGAAAAGTTATGGTCTTAAGCAATTCCATATCGGTTTTATGCCTAGCTATGTATCCAAAAAGATTTATGTAATCTATGAAAATAGAGCACTGAAACTGCAAATATAAAACTTACGATGTTAGTGCTGATGGCCTTTAGCGAAGCTCTAGCTTTAATCATGGCCGAAGAAGACAGAAACTAGAGTTAATAGTTTCTGCTACTTATTTCTTGTCCCTGATAATCTGGTGTATGATATGCATGTGTATGAAAATCCAAAGTAGCTAGTAGTATACAGTGAGGAGTTTGTTTAGTTATCAATTATTAACCGTGAGCGTGTTCAAGCTGATTCCTGCCTAATCATATCAAGGAAAAGCTAACACTGTCCTGAATTGAATCAAAATTGAATTTTCTTAACAACAACTTAATCACACAAAAATCAATGTTGACTGATTCTGCTTTTCCCTTCACAATTCTGAATTCAGATATAATTGATCTGGACCCACTGACATGGAGAGCGAGAAGCGGAAAAAAGCGCTCGCTTTTTTTCAGATGCCTCGCTTTAGGTTTGAAAAGCGCAGACCTTGCGCCTGGCCTCACTAATTAAAAAGTTGTAATAACCATCCTTCTGTTAGTTTCTGGACAAAAATTTTAGCAGAGAAACCATTTGCTCCAATTCTTTTACACCATTACCAACTGAAAGAGATATGGTGTTGACATAATTTATCTTCATATGTAGTATGCTACAGTTGTGCTTCACAAAACAAGTTAAAAGTGCATAAGCTTTCTCTTCTTTCTTGTTCCAGCAAGGTTTTAATTGGTTAATGTAGTTGACGAGTGGGGTTTGTTAAATTATGTTCTCTTCATCTTCTTCATCTTGAAAGACATTATTGTATTTGCTGAGGAAAACTAAAGAGATAAAAAATTTCCTCATGAAAAAATCTGAATTCTCTCCTTCTGTGAAGGGAAAAGCAGAATCAGTCAATCACATTCTTTTGCATTAATGTCCCAATTTTGATTCAGAATTGTAAGTTGTTGTTTGATGTTTCTTTCTTCTTGCAGAAAATGTCCCAAATTAATATTGAGAACCGGAAAAAGTTAAAGAATCCTCACACTGCTGGAAAAAGAAGTTTTGCTTTAGTACGCTCTAAGTTGGTGTGTAACTAGCAAATAATGGCAAAAAATTTCTCAATTTCTGCTCTTGTTTAGTACATGGTAGATCACCACGAATGCTAACTCACTTTCATGTAACTATGTAACTAGGAAAACGAGAAGAAAACTTCGGATCCTTTATCGGCAAAAGAAGTCTTTGTAGCTACAAGAAAAAGGAAAACTGGGCGATCATACAAGTGCTCGGATGATGATACAACTAGTAAAATTGTGCGAATTATATTTAACTGATTTTATATCGAGATCAATTATTTGTTTTTATTAGTATACTTTTTATTTACTTGTTCTATTTGTTTGAATTTGCTTTGAAGGCTGAAATGGTAGCAATTGAAGCCCAACAAAATAAAAATGGCAATGAGTCCGTTGATGCATTTGCATCTGTCGTGGGGCCTGAACATCCGGGACGTCTAAGATTGTATGGACGAGGGGTTACAAGAACTTCTTTGAGAGGGAAGGTAGGATGTTTTGAATATTCTCCAAATACTACAAATTCTCTACAAAAAATGGAGGAGAAGATACAAAGGATGGAGGAGAAAATTGAGGAACAAAAGGCAACTATCCGTCAAGAAGTTGTTGCAGATGTCCTTGCACGACTTCAGCTTTCAGGAATTGATATTGATGCTAATATTATTCTAGCGGCATTGGGTGATAATTCTCCTGGAGAAGCTTCTTCTGCACAGCGAGCAACTTTGCAACCAATTCGTCGTCCATCTACTGATAGCAACAAAGAAGGCCAACTCATTCGAGGTATTAATATTGCTTATTTTTTAGCTTATTCGGTTTAGAATTATACTTGTTGATGCCAAGAACTATAGCTGTGATATATATTACGGTTTAATTTAATCATGATATTTAGCAATCATGATTACTTACTTCTAATATCGCGCCGTTTTAAGTGTATCAGATCCCTGCTGATCATTTCCCATAATCAGGATATAGGGTTGATCTCCAAGTTGATAAACTTATTTACGAGTATTTTCTTTTGCTTTACTCATTCAGTGTTCAAAGACCTAATACAGATCCTTGCTGGATGGGTGTACTAAGGGGTAAAACGTAACTCTCGCCAATTGATATGGGAGATTGAGCATTTTCTCGTGGATCTCCTTTTTCTTGTTTTTCTTTTTAGCTTTCTAGCTTTTGCAACTTTACTGCCTGAGATTGAATGTTGGTTTTATAGACGAAGTATTCTGTTAACTAATACTCCTTCCGGTGAGGGTTCACATAAGTCATAGACTGAGCTCATGCAAATTGAACTATTCATTTTAAAAGTGTTTAGTGGTGAATTATAGTACTATATATTTATATTACTTTGATATCCTTTTAAAATGTTTTTATTGATGAAATTATATATATCCATCTATTAAATTGATTGCTAGTGTTGTCACTTCACTGAGAGGTGTTTAATGTAATTGGCAGACAATGTGTGATTCCTTGATGCCCTTCTCATTCTGTTGGTTCTGCATAGTTGTATGGTTCTCTTCTTTGTTGGTTCTGCATAGTGTTTGGTGTAATTGGCAGACAATGTGTGGTTCTCTTCTTTGTTGGTTCTGCATAGTTGTATTTGCAAATGATGTTTTGAGCAGGTTGAAAATTTTGGGAGTCATATTTACAAAGGAAACTCTGCCGAAAAATTTAAGAATTTAGAGAATGAAAATTTTCGTGTTATTATCAAATTGGTCATTCAATTACTTTGTGATTCAGTTATCCTAAAAATGTTATTTAATTATTTCTCATTATCTTTTGTAGGTGCAGTGATTGCGGATGAAAGCAGTGACGAAGACCTTACTTGAGTGTTGTTAGGCTTTATTATTATTTTTAAGGATATTTTAGTTTAGAACTTTTTGTATGCAAACTCATCTATTTTGACTTTTAAATTGTTTGACCAAACATTGTATCCATATTTTGTTTTTGTACATGGATAATGCTAGTTGGATATGGTGTAAACAATTTCATAGAATAGGAAACTATTTCTAATTTTGCTTCTATAAATATCAGAAATTATAATTTGTTGCAATAGAGAATATAATTGTTCCAATAGACCTAGCAAATAACAAGAGCAGCCCCTAATAACTGTTCCAATATGTTATGATATCCATTGCAATAGAGTAATGATAATTGTTCCAATATATCATGAAAAACGTTGCAATATATCATGAAAACCGTTGCAACAGCCTTAAAAAATATCAGCTGTATTAGTTTACCAGGACAGTTTATAACCGTCCCAATAGAAAATAAAACCGTTACTGTAGATAGAGCATGGTAGCAATCCAAAATCCCTATCTATGGAGACGGTTTATGAACCGTTGCAAATAACCGTTCCAATAGACCTATTGTGACGCTGAATCCCGGAACGGGTCAGCATCCGTCCCAATAGCCCTATAAGGACGGTTAGCAGATCTATAGCAACAGTTTTCGAAGGGTTGCCATAGCTTCAATTTCTAGTAGTGTCTCTCTCAGATCACTCTCAGAACAGTATCATATAGTAACTGCTGCGGCGTGCAGCCCGATCCACATCTCGCTGCAGCGTGCAGCACGATCCATATATCGTCGACGGCGCTCACTTGGGGTGTGCAAACTCCGGGAGGGGCCCCTTACGGCCCAAGCGTAATATCAAGCCACCTCGCGGCATATAACATAAGGCCTGAAAGCCTTCTCACATCACTCACAAGGCCTGAAAGCCTCCTCACATCACTCACAAGGCCTGAAAGCTTCCTCACATCACTCACAAGGCCTGAAAGCCTCCTCACATCACTCACGAGGCCTGAAAGCCTCCTCACATCACTCACAAGGCCTGGAAGCCTCCTCATATCACTCAACATATCCTCACATATGGCCCTCGGCCTCACTCAGTCCAGAAAACATCATAAGCCCCTCGGGCATCAATAAAATAGTAGTGCTCAGCCCAAACAACAGTGGAAATATCATTTAAGTCTCAAAGTTCAATTAAAGCGGCTGAGTTTGTAAAACAGTATAATCAACAGGACTGAGTTCAAGTAGTATATCAAAATAGTGAGGAAACAGTGATAAAAATCCCCGAAGGGTTCAGATAATTGGCACGAAGCCCAAATATGGCAATCAGCCCAAATCATGATAATAACAAATAAGTTTCAGTCAAATACGCGATAAAATCATCAATCGGGACGGACCAAGTCACAATCCCCCAACGGTGCTCTACCCCACGCCTGATATCCGGCGTGCAAGTCACCTCAATATAGCACTACGGTGTGCAATCCGGGGTTTCAAACCCTCAGGATATCATTTACAATCATTACTCACCTCGAACCGGCTAAATCTCTAGCTCACGACGCCTTGCCCCTCAAATCGGCCTCCACACGTGTCGAATCTATCCAAAACCAGAACGAATACGTCACAATATGCTAAGGGAACAAGGCCCAAGCGAAAACAATCGAAAAATATCAAAAATCCCGAAATTAGCAAAACCCGAGCCCCGGGCCCACTTCTCGAAACTTAGAAATTTTTACATCAATAGATTCCTTATCTCCTCACGAGTTCATACATATCAAAAGTTCTCAAATCCGACCTCAAATGGTCCCTCAAATCCCCAAATCAAATTTCAAATCCCTAGGCCCCAAACCTTCGGATTTCACCCCAAAAACAAGTAATCTAGTCAGGATGTTTGATGATAATCCCATATTATTGACTAACAATGACCGCAAGTGACTTATCTCTAGTTTTCACATGAATTCTTACTCAACAATCACCCAAAAACGAAATTGAAGATTAGGGTATAGAACCTTACCTCTTTGATGAAGAACTTGAGGGATTTCTTGTTGGATTTAAAGGATTGGACAACATTTTTTGATGAACAAGGCACTTGAGCTTCTTCCTCTCTCTAGAATTGCTCTTCCCTCTCTCTAAAAGCTCCAGAAAACCCCAAAATAACAAACCCCAAACGAGTTAAATAAAATGGGGTTCGGGTCTTAAAAACCCGTTTTTGTACTGCCACGCCGCATGGGGCACCGCATGGGGCGCCGCGGTAGTGTAAAATTCTCTGCTGCTTTTGGTAATTTGGTCATAACTTCTTGTAGGAGTATCCGAATGACGAACGGTTTGAAGCGGTAGAAACTAGATTCGAAAATCTTTCATTTGATAGGTTGTTCATCATATAAATCCTTATATTTATTCAGATATTCTTGTCCAAAGTTAGGTCTTGTGCTGCTCATTCGAAACTTTCGTCTAAAATGAAACTTTTCAACTTGGCTTGGACTTAGGCCTCTCTTTAGACCCCAAATCACTTATAATATGCCCTGTACACTTATTATCATATCCAATTGATATCTATCATATTAATAGTCCTCGTTCGCAGACAAAATAATATAATTAGCGCACATCAATTTTCTTAATAGCACTTCAAAAATTTTCCGGGGCGTTACATTCTCCCCTACTTAGGATCATTCGTCCTCGAATGAGAAGTAGAGTCCGCTCCCAAACACATAACATCATTTAAACTTGTTCCAATCATCAAAACACCTCAAACAACATCAAAACCATCAATTCACATCGAATTCAAACCTAAGTTCTTCTAAAATTTCCGAAACACGCATTTGATCAAAAACCCAACCAAATCACCTCCGAATGACCTGAAATTTTACACACACATCCCAAATCAGATAACGAAGCCACAGCAACTTTCAGAATTCCATTCCGACCCTCGGATCAAAATCTCACCTATCAACCGGAAACCGCCAAAATACTAACTTCGCCAATTCAGGCCTAATTCTACACCGGACTTCCAAAACCAATTTCGATCACGCTCCTAAGTCACAATTCACCTAATGAAGCTAACCAAATCATAAAACTCCGATCCGAGATCATATACAAATAAGTCAACTATTGGTCAAACCTTTCAAATTCAAAGCTTTCAACTGAAACTGTTCTTTCGAATTCATTCCAAATTTTCCTGAAAACCAAAACCAACGATCTACATTTGTCATAATACATAACACAGGGCAAGTCATGCCCGAGAACTGGCGATCAAAGTGCAAAAAGCTCAAAACGACCGGCTGGGTCGTTACAAAACTCCACCCCCAAACCCGTCTGATCCGACCCGCCTAGCCCAAGATCCCCCTCTCATTAAAACCTACAGATCCAAGACCTAACAGAAGAGGAGACCAAGATTCAACACAGAGAACAACGAGGCTCACCCCTTCTCTTTCACAGAGAGCCTGAGTGCAGCTTTCACTTGGTCCTTAGTGCAGCTTTCACTTGGCCCCTACCCTCTCGATCTTCTTCCTCATTTTCTCACTCAAAACAAGAACCAAAAACCAGACCTCCCACTCCTTCACACTCTCTCCCTTCACTCCCATTCTGAAATACACACGCACGAGACAGCGAAGGAGGGATTCTGCAATTGGAAAGTTCCAAAAGCAGATTTGGAAACAAATAATAAAAAAAAATCTCTAAGAAGCTGAAAGAGATAGGGATTCGGACAGGATTTTGAGAAGAATTAATTGCTGGAAATTTAAGGTTTAGATCTTTGTTTTCTTCTGTATGGGTGACTGATCTCATTAAAAATGACTGAGATACATGCGATTTGCTGGTAATTATATGCCTAATATAATTTACTTATTAGTATAGCTTTGCTTTCATTTCATGGTCATCATAAGCTAATAAAAATCTGGTTAGTTTCTTTAATCCAATTTATTGGTTGATGACAAAATTAGCAGTTATTGCTGTTGGTCCGAACTTAATTGTCTATGCCTAGATGTTTAATGTTCACAATTTTTAGGTGTAGGTTTTCCCTAGTTTTGGTTTGTTTTGAGTTATAAGAATTGAAGTATGTATTATGCTGTTTTTTTTTATGAACGTTAAAGGCAAAAAACTAA